TTTTTCTCCAAATGCTTTGTCTAATCCATAATGACACTAAAAAAGAAAAAAGAAACTAAAGTAAACATTATTCAACTTCAATTGAATACCCATGATAAAAGATAACGGTCATCTTTCGAAACACCAGTTTTAGTTGCTAAAAAATAACTTTTATTATATCGCCAACCTAAATCCGGTAGTTGTTCAACAATTTGATAGATATTATTCGTTGAACGAATAAACATTGACACATGTTGTAACGCTAATTCTAAAATTAAAAAAAAACAAGAAGAAAACTTAAAAATTTCTTTATATAAATAAATACCTGAATAATTCATCATATGATTTTCTGGATCAAGAAAACGTTGTATTACTAATGAATTACAAAGTTCGAATTGTTGAACAAGTGTATGAAGATATGTCTAAAGAAATTTCATATAAAAAAAAACAACCAAATCATTTTCATAACATACTTGAAGACCTTTTTGTCTTTCAGCCATAAATGTTCGATCAGTTCTACCAAGAAGTTTTTTCTTTGGTAATTCAAATTCGAAACCATATTCTTTTAAAATATTATTAAGATCATCAAATTCTCTAAAACGTTTGGTAACAACCCATGAACATGATGGATCATTTGAAGCACGTGCAACTCGAATAGAATAAACCTAATTCTTTTTTATTTTATTTAATCATCAAAAATATTTTATTTTACGCATTACCCCATGTCCTTCAACAAGTTGTGAACTTTCAATAACACATGTCATTGGAAGTGTATCATCAATTGGTGTTCGTACACCATTTATTGTTTGAGGAATAATTGACCGTGCCATTATATAATATCGTTTATATCATTTGCGTCTAAATAAAAAATACACAAGTTCACTCACTTACACACTCGCTTTTTTTCCCTTTTTTTTTGTTCTATCTGTTTGCTCTCGTAATGCGCTTGTTGAAATAAGTAACACAAGAAGAATATGTGGAGATAAGAATAGGCATACACACATTTTAAGTGTTTGTGTATGCACACGGAGATTATATAAATAAATAAATAAATAAATAAAAATTTATTATATAAATGCTGAGAAACTTGAAAAATATATAATGTCATACATTCGAATATAAAACAATAATTATAAAAATTATTTAGGAAAGATGAACAGGCTCTTCATCATTAGTATCACCACTACCAGTTTGTTCATCATTATAAATCATTGAACAAGAACGTTTTGAATGATAATGATGATGATGATGATGATCATTTTTTCGTCCTAGTAAAAATTCATATTCAATCATATATTTTAATAATTACATCTAAGCAACATACGTCGATGTTTACGTTTTTTTTCAAGTGTACGTGTTGTATCGATTTCAAGTTTTGTTGTTGTTGATGTTATAGGTGGTGTTGAATCAACAATGACTACTCGATGATGATGATGAGTTTCCATAGATTGATTAGAAGGAAAAATTGGATCAATATTTGTTGTTACTTTTTCATTATTATTTTGTTTTATTGATCGAAATTGAAAATGATCTATTTCTTCATGAATAGCTTTTTGTAATTGATTTAATGTCCATTTCTAAATAACAAGCATTTTTTTTTTTTTCTTTCTTCGAAAAAACAAACAAATAAATGTTCAACTAACTTCACTTTCAAAACCAAAATCAAATTTTTCAACATCATTTTCTATCATACAATCATCATTATCATCTAATTTAATTAGAAATTCATTAACAAAACTATGTTGAAGTGCTATTGTTGCACTTATTCTTTGTTCAGGATCAACAACTAATAATTGACGTAATAAATCAATTCCATCATCAGTTGCATTCGGATACAAAGCTTTAAAATTAGCTGGTTGACGATTACCAACACCTAATGTATTATATATTAATTATTTTTTTGTCATCATTCTTTATCATGTACTTACTTAAAATTAATCGTCGAAAACAATCACTATGAAGTGAAGATAAATAAGATTTTGATGGTGTACCAAGTATAATAAAAATTAATTGAATTTGTGCTATAGTATTTGTACCTATAAATGTTCAATTAATATTTATTAAAAATAAACTGAAATTTTCTACCAGAAAATATTGGTTTTCGTCCAAACATTTCAGCTAAAATACAACCCATTGACCAAAGATCAATTGCTTGAGTATATTCAGTATAACCAAGAATAACTTCAGGTGCTCGATACCAACGTGTAACAACATATTGTGTTTGATCATGATCACGATATTGTCGAGCCATACCTTTTTTTTTTTTTTTGAAAAAAAAAACAAAAAGATTTTTGTTTTTGTCCCAATGAATGAATAAATCTTTCTTACCAAAATCTGCTATTTTGAGATTACATGTTTGACTAAGAAGAATATTTGATGGTTTAAGATCACGATGAATCTAAATAAATGATTTGATTAAATTTATTTTTTTTAATTTTTATTATTATCTATTTATCTTACAATTCCAGATTGATGAATAAAAGCTAAACCATTTAATATTTGATAAGAAAAATATTTAATATGATCATTTGTTAATGTTTGATTTGATTCAAGTACACGTTTTAAATCAGTATCCATATAATCAAATACAATATAAACATCTTGATTATTATTTGAACCAAGAAAAACATCTCGAATCGTTATAATATTTTCATGATTAACAAGATGACGTAAAATTTTTATTTCACGATATGTTCTCATACCAATAAGAAAATGTTCGAATACATTAGTTATTTTTTTAATTGCTACATTAATTCCTGTTTTACAATGACGTGCAAGACATACAACACCATATGCACCATTACCTTTAACAAAAACATAAAAAATAAAATCATCATATTCATAATTAAAAATATCAAAAAAAAGAGAGATTACCAATATTTTTAATTGGTTCATATTTATTTAGATGAAAATCAAAATTAACATCAAAATATTGTTGATCTAATTTTTCATTCATAATCTAGAAAATAAATATTAAAAACAAAAAACAAAAGTTTCATACAATCTTTTATTTTAATATTTAATGAAATTCAATCTATTAATCCTTTAGCTTAACAAAAATAAATAATATTTATTTTGACTATTCTATTGTCTCGACTTTTGTTTTCAACGAATATAAAAGAAAAACAAAATGAAATTAAGTGATGCATAGCACATTATTTTACAATAGAAAACTTGTGATAGAAGAGTAAGAAAAAGAAAAGAAAAACATATTAACAAATATTTTTCCTCATTATTTTATTTATTTAATTAATCAAAATTATAGATTCATTTCATATATAAAATACTTGAATTATTACAATAGTAGCAAAGCAAAATACGTATTCTCTATTAATGTTCAAAAGAAAAATCTGATTAACATAGACAAAGAATATGTTAGTAAAAACATTATGCACTGTTAGTTATAAATGTAGATAGAATTTTAGTTAAAAGAAAAATATGACTTTCACTAATTATCATCATGTTATCAATTAAAATCATAAAGAAAACTACATCATCGTAAAAATCAATGCAAACATTTCCATTTTGTTTAATACTTTCGATAACAAAATAATACGAATAAATCAGTATATCTATAATAATCGTAAACAATCACTATCACTTTCGAATAGTTATCATCAGAAAAACTTAAACAACATAATATCATATATATATATATATGTAAAATGAATTTTAATATATGGTTTAGGTTTTTTTGCTTATGTCTAGTTATAAGTTATGCAGGATTGGGAGTACAAGAAAAAAATTTGTATAAACAAAAACTAAGTTTTCTATGCTTGTAGCAAATCTTGTTATAAATCGTATCAATAAAAATAAAATTCAAGTAAAATGATCAAAAAACCAGCAACATTGACGACCGATTGGGTCAATTAAAATATTGTGTATTCAAAAGATTTTTTTCGATTTAATGCAAATAAATTCTGACATAATTTTTCTGTAACTTCTTTCCGACTTCAATGAATTTTTTTTGATAAAACATAGTAGCACTTTTTCTAATTAAAAAAAAAAGCTATCGAAGTTAATCTACAATTGAATTCTCTGTATGCACAAAATTCGAATTTTTCGAAAATCTGACACTTCAAAAAAATAGACATATTTTAAAAATTCGATAGTTTAATCAAATGTCAATAGGAACCAAAATTCTTGCAGGGTTTGTATTAGAACGTATCTATACAGGCAAAATATCATCAAAACAAGGCTGGGACTAAAAAACAAAAAGATTTGAGTCTACACATTTCTAATGATTATTCATTAGTCGAGAAAATATGTATATTTCGTTTTGTTTCTTGATCTCTACGGAAAATTACAAAACAAAAGAAAACGTTCTTATCAAGAGAAAACATAGATGAATTATATTTGAGTAAAATTAAAATAAGATTTTATCAATTTAAAAGATGACAAAAACAAAAAAAATTTCATTTTTTTTTCTTATCAAATAAATATTCAAGTTTTCTATTTCAATAACAATAATACATAGATGATCTTTTTCTTGAAATATGTATATTTAAGGATATATAGAAGAAGACAAAATTGCTCATACATACACACATGTAAAGAAATAAATGTACATCATACAAAAAACAAAAAAAAAGGACACGCACACATACATATAGAGATGCATTTTCTTTTATTATTATTATTATTATTATTATTATATTTTCTTTGTTTGTTGCTATTGAAGCTTAAATCAAAATGTTGTGTTATTCTTTGGAAGACTCGTCGTGTGTAATTCTTCTCTTTCTTTTTTTTTTTAACCGAAAAAAAAAATACGACGAAATTCTTCTTTCTTCTTCAATATCACTGTTATTGCCCGCACACACATGAAGAATATTCTACATAGTAAAAAAAAAAAAAAAAGAACGAACAAAGACGTGCACACAAAATAGTTTCACACTAAAAAAAAAAAAGGAAGAAGAAGAAGGAACAAAAAGTGACCGAACAAATAGAAACTGAATAAGCAAAATGAGATTTTTCTTATCAGAAAATGTATATATGTGTGTGCGGATTTTTTTTTTTTAATATTATCCAAGTGAACCAAAATGATTATAATCATCATTATGTGAACTATTCGGTGTTTTATCAAATTTTTTAACTTCTTCTTGCATGGATTCTTTTAATTTTAATATAGCATTTGTATCATTACTTGGATCTTCTGTATAATTATAATTTGTTACATCAGGTGGTTGTGGTGGTGGTGGTGGTGGTTGAGTTTGTTGTTGTTGATTAGGTGATTGTTTCATTTGTTGATCATAATCACCTATAAAATCTTGTTTAAAAATTATTTTACTAATTCAAAACAAAAAAAAAAAAAATAATTGAACAAACCATTTATAGAACCATGATGTGTCATATCAGGTGGCATATGTGTTAGATGTGGATCATGATACTAGAAAATAAGAAATATGAAATAACTATTTGTGATAATCAGTGAATCATTGTATTTATTCTATCTATTTTAAGAGATACTTCATTATTACTAGGGGTCGACGAGCTCAGCTCAGTTCCACTCAGAGGAACTGTTCGAACAGCTCTTTTGAGCTGAGCTGAACCGGTTCGTTTGAGCTGTGTTCCCAAAACAGAACACTTGTTCCGTTTTCGGGAAATAATTCCCATAAAAGAACAAAAGTGTTCTGTTTTAGGAACACAGCTCAAACGAACCGGTTCAGCTTAGCTCAAAAGAGCTGTTCGAACAGTTCTTCTGAGCAGAACTGAGCTGAGCTTGTCGACCCCTAATTATTACCATTCTAGTTTATCTTTGAAACATACAACAAAAATAGTAGTGCAACAATAAACACAAGTCTAGATATGTACATGTAGAAGAACAATGAAGACTGTTATCTTAAATTCATTTCGAAATTTTTAGTCGATAGAAATCTATTCTTTATACAGTTCAGTGAATATCTTGAAAATGATTTTTTCGAACAAAAGAATTAATGCAAGAACATTATACTTTTATCATGCGTTTACTATTAGTCTATATGTACATGTTTAGATCATGTTTCATTTAAAAAAAAAGTTAGTTTTTAAACATTTTATAACATATATTATTACCATAGGATTTGGTCCATGGCCCATACTGGTCGGTATATTTCGCATACTATAGGGTTGCATTTCTCCACTATTTGAATCTAAATAGAAGATAATACAAAAATACAAAAGAAAAATATTTACATATTCTTCTTTATTGAACAAACCTTGTGGACTTGGCATCATTGTTGGTGTTGTTGGTGCATGACCTGTTGGACAAGGATTCTAGAATAATAATTATAGTTTAATTTCATATATAGAGAAAAGATACATACTCCATAAGGAATAGGTGATGATGAAGAATAACCAACCTAAATAATATTTTTTTAAATATAAAAACAATGATTAGTAATTCGTAGCTTACTCCTGGTGAATTTGTAATATGCATTCTTGGTCCAGGTTGATTGATTGATGGTGACATAACTTGAGGTCGATATGGATTCGGTAATTGTCCACCAGGACCCGGATGACCAATTGGATTTGATGGCATTCGAGCACCTGGAGATGTCATTCGTAAACCTATTATACATATTATTTGAAAAAAAAAACAAAACAATTTTTTTTTCTCTTTATATCAACTAAATACCATTTCGACCACTATCCATTTGTGGTGGCATAACTGGTCCACCCTATATATATGAAAATAAACTTAAATCTAAATTTTATAATGTTTCTTTTTTTTTACGGGATAATCAGGTTGTGGTGGCATTCGAACAAGTGAACGTGGTGGAGCACTTGGATAACGTGGATACTAAAATATTTCTTGTTTTATATTCAATATCAATTTACTGATTATACCTGATTTATCATTGGTTGTCCCGATGGCTATAGAATCATAAAATTAAACAAGTTTATTTTTTTTTAAGAAATTATCTTACAGGAAAAAATGAAACATTTGGATTATGCATGCCTTCATTTACATTCATTGGCATTGGTGGTGGACCATTTGGATTTGTATTAGGCTATAGAAAATAAATTTCTTCTAAAATAAATTTCGAAAGGAAAAACAAATCTTTTATACTTGAGGAGGCATGCCATTTGAATTAATAAATCCCTTAAAATAAAGTTTTTGTTTTTTTGAATTTTAAATACAAAAAAAGATTTTATTTGTCTTACATAATCATGAAAAGCTTTTGCTTCTTCTGAATGTGGATGTTGATCTCGACGTTCTGGTGCAGCACTATATAAATCCCAAAAAACACTAAAATAAAAAAAATAAAATCTTATTCTAAATCAAATTTTATTACTTACCACCACCAACTAAGTAAAAAACCAGGTGGTTCACCAAGTGACATTTTATTTGGTTCCCATTTCATCTTTATAATAAAAACTTTTAATTAGAATTAAAATCAAAAAACAAAAAAATGTAATTTACATCCGCACAAAATCCTTGAGCAGCTTTTGCTGCACCAATATGATACAGATATTCATAAACATAAAGATTTAATCTGTAAAGAAAAAAAGAAAAATTTAAAGATACAAGAAAAAAGATAATTTATAATACGAACTTTTCTTTTGCATGAATATCTGATGGAGCATTAAGATTTTTATTTTTTCCATACATGATTTTTTTCTTTTTATTTATGAATGAATTTATTTTGGATACACATTTTAAAAAAAAAAAAAAAAAAAAAAAAATTTTTTTTTTTTTTTTTTTATCTAAATAGAGATTGATTGATTTGCTGTTAATAAATTCTGTCAAGCAGTTATCATTGTTCCATTTCGTAAACCTCTATTTTGTTTTAGTTTTTGCATATTATAAAAAAAAGAAAAATAAGAATAAATGATGAATCGATATTATGAAATAAATTTTTATATATTAAAAGATTTTTTTTTTGATCGTTTAAAAAATTTTTCTCTTTAAAAAGTTTCGATAAAGATTTTTTATTCGTCAAATTTCTTAACCAATAAAACAATTGACACGTTATTAGTCATCATCGATGGATTTCATTCATTTATTTTATTGTTTCTTCGTCATTATTATTTGCTATGAATATAAATGATTTCCTTCGATTAATTATATCGCGATTTCATTGGGTAAGTTTTATAAATATAAATTATATCAGGGAATTATCAGTATGATTCTAAAGGTGAATTACTAAGTGAATAAAGACAAAAAAACATAAGATCTTTGAATGCACTTGATGGTTTGTTATGAGAAAATAAGTTATTTCATATAGGAGTCTAAATACAATGTAACTAGCAATAAGGGAAAAACTATTGATGATAACATTACTATGTTATTATTAAATCATATTTCAATTGTTGAGGTTTTTTCCTTATTGTTAAATTGTGTGAGTTAGGAAATGTTGCATAATATAAAAATAAAGTTGCCGTCTTATAAATCGTACGTAACACAATGGACAATAGAGAAGTGATGAATCTACGATTTTGATAATGAAGATGATGATAAACACAAAATATCTTTTTGAAGCTCAAAACAGGTAGTGCCAACTTATTTTTAAGTCTTTTCTAATATCATTATTGCAATAGGATCTGTCGGGTTAATCACAGAGCTGAGGGGTTTGAATAAAGAATGTCTATAGAGAACAGGTGAAAGTCTGTTTCTATTACGTTCAATGAATGATTGATTAAAAGGAAAAAGTGCAAAATTCGGAGACAAATTTTTGATAAGAAAACTCTTTACATAGAAACCTAACGAATTTTCAAGAATCTATATCTGAGTTCGGAAATGTTTATTCTAACCGTAACAATATTGAACATCATGCAAATTTATAATATATATATAGTTTTTTCGATTACCATGCCAATGGATTCTGTAAAAATTTGATTGTTATCTAGATGTCGTTACATTCCTGCTAGTTATTAATTCGGTGATTTGCTATTCTATTCAAAGGTTACAACAGAGAATGAGAATGCTGATGACCTGACCAGACAGCATTGCGCCTCTTCAGATAAATTTTGTACAGTATCGATTTTTCATGTATTGTTCATTGTGTCTAAAAGGTCAAAGTTAGTGTCATAATAGATATTCTAGTAGACCGATCAATTTAACATAATGAGTCATTACAAGGTATTACGAAACTTTTTATGGTTATCTTATTGATGAGCATATCCAATTTATTATTTGTTATAGATAAAATTCAAAACAGGTATGCAAATGAAAGCTTTTTTTTTTCAGTATAAAATAATGAGAAAAGTATTTTTTTTTCTTTCGTAGAAAAGATATCTTTAAATTTTTTTACTTGTGAATCAAATGAGTGTAAATTAAACAATAATCTACCATAACTTGATATCAATAATTTTCAATCAGATTTAGACTGTAAAAAAAAACAATTGCATGTCTGTTTTTTTGTTTCTGCATGAAATATATAAAATAGTAAATTTCTATTTCTAGAAAATTCAAATGAAATAATTATGAGAAAATTTAATTGAGAAATTAAAGATGAAGTATATATTATTTGCGTTGAGTTGGTTCAGGAAATTCATCTGATGGCTATTTGCTATCATTAGACATGTGCAGAACCAATTGTTTTTGGTCTCCACTTCGACATGATCCAAGTAATTTTTTTCCACTACTTCTAGTCTAGAGAAACTTATTCTAAATTGAATAATGTATTGATTTGTGATTTAGAAGAAAACATGCTTAAGACTAGAAAATATTTAATTGTAATTTTTAATTTTGGTTGAAACATTTTTTTCTGATGGTTGCGGTTTCGTACATGTCTAACCGTTCGTAGTAGATATTTCAATGTCATAATCTTTATACTTGTAATAATAAAATAAATTTTTCAGTCCGAACCAACGCAAATCTAGAAGTTGTATCCTTTCAATTGAATGTATAAAGATGAAGTTTTAGTTATACATCAGTTAGATTATTTTGAACTCTGGCAATAGGATTCTTCACTTTCTAGCATTCATTAAATAATGATACGCAGAAATTTGAATTTTCTGAAAATCTAAATTTGCTATATTCTCGCATGATTTGCCGTGTTATCGGCATGATTTATTAACGTAAACATTTATCATATCGTTTGTTCCTTGTTTTTTTTATGCACAAAAGAATTTCCCAAAATTCTCTATTCTTCAATACAAACAAATAACATTTATTGAGACTAAACAAAATTTGATTTTTATGTTTATAAAAAAAAAACAAACAAATGCTTTCGAATATGATACATTTAACTAATGAAGTTCAGTATATATATATGTCAGCGTCCAAACTGAGATTACGTCCAATCTCAGATTGGCCTAGGCGAATCTCGGATTGACGCAATTCTGTTCATTAAAATATCAATTACCCTTTAGACAGACCTTGGATTCGAACTATTTTTTGAAATTATGTTCACACAATGCCGTTTTAAGTATTACAAGCATTTAGGAAGAAGCTAAATTTAGACTCAAAAATGTAATAAAAGTTTTTCACATAAGTTCTTGTTCTCTAGAAATTTATTCATAACTCCTAAAATTTTATTCAGATTTGTCAAATAACAATTGTGCCAAACAAACTGGCATCGTGTGAACATAACTGAAAAAAAAATAGTTCGAATCCAAGGTCTGTCTACAGGGTAATTGATATTTTAATGAATAGAATTGCGTCAATCCGAGATTGGACGCGTCCAATCTCGGATCCGACATTCGCCTAGGCCAATCTGAGATTGGACGTAATCTCAGTTTGAACGCTGACATATATATACAATTAGTTCTTTATGCACTATTCGTATAAAAAAAAAATTTGTATGTTATAATATTCAAATAATTTGATTTTAATTAAACATAATCGATGGAGCCATTCAATAGTTTAATAACAATGATTATCACTTATAAAAGTATTACAGTCGTAAATCATTTTATATTGATATATTACATGGTGCAGTATTGCAAATTATATTTGTCCGTTTTGCATATGGAGAAATACGATCGCTGATGGAGTTCGTATATGACTCTTGTTTTACTAAGTATCTTACTGTAAACTATCGTATTTCTCCACATACAATGCGAAGAAATATGGTTGTAAGACTGAATCATCCAATATAGCGAAATACGAAGTCTGTACGGAATTTGTATTCATCATCTTGAGATACTATTACTCCTTGACCTATTTTTCTTATTCCAAGTAGTCATTCAGAATATAGTTACTAAACATGTCAACTGATTAATTAAGCCCTGACACATTTTGAATCAATTTTTTTGGAGATATTATCATTTCGATAACTTCTCTCTTTTTTAATTCAAAGTTTCTTAAAATTAAGTAAACTTCATCAAAAAATTTCACTTGTCATCATCGATCCGTGTATCGACTTACACATCTAATAATTATCACAAGATAACTACACTACAGATAGATACTGATAATTCCCTTGATGTATTAATTCTATTCTAATATAAATTATTTTAGATTATATTTATAATTATTCTTATCATCATTAAAAAGATGTTAACACTCTTTAATGCTAAGTATTTAACAGAGGAAAATTCTTTATTACATATGACAGATGAAGAACGTGAACGAATGAAACTTTTTGAATTTGAACGTGGTTTAGCATTTGATAAATATTATCGATTTGGTAGAACTGCTGAACCATCCATTGTACTTGATGATTTTCTTTTTTTGGGAAATTTTCAACATGCAACAAATCAAACTTTACTTGAAGAATTTAATATTAGTATAAAATTCTTTTTTTTTATTATTAAATTTTATTAAGAAATTTTCATTTTTATTATTCTTTAGAACATATAATAAATGTATGTGACTTATCATTAGGACAAACAATTCTTAATAATTTCAATGTTGTTCATATTCCAATGCCTGATGAACCTCGTACAAATATAAAACAAGTAGAATATTTATATATAGTCATTTATAAATGCAAACAATAAATAATATATCATTTTTTTTTCATATATTTAGCATTTTGATCGAACAAATGAATTATTACATGGATTTTATGAAAAGAAAGAACGATGTTTAGTACATTGTGCTGCTGGTAAAGAAAAGAGCTTCTTTTTTTTTTTTTTTTAAAATTTAAATTAAATTAAATTTTTTTGTTTATTTTAGGCATATCTCGTTCAGCAACCATTGTTCTTGCTTATTTAATGAAATATCATCATAATACATTAAAAGAAGCATTTTATTATCTTATTGAAAAACGTCCACAAATATGGCCAAATGAAGGATTTTTATTGCAATTAATGCGTTATGAAACAGAATTAATTCGATCACGTGAAATAACGAATAATAAAGATGCATCAATTGAAAATATTCAAATGAAAGAGAATCCAATTGAAACATTGAATGAATTTGAACATAAACATGAAAAAGATGAATAAACAGATTGTTAATAATTTATTAAGAGTATTTTGTTTTTTTTTAATATAAACATTTTTATTTAAGAAATAAAAGACAAAAAGGCTTTGAAAGACTGTTAATTATCATTTTCATCATTCATCTCGTTGTCAGAATCAAAATCTTGTTCTAAACGTAATTCAATTGCATCATTTTCATAAAATTTTAATGAGATTTCAGATTTCATTAATTCTTCATCATCATGTAATGGTATTGTTGTTATTCCACTTCGAATATATTTAATACTATCTATATTC